AAGTATATCCAGACGCAAAAGGCGCCCTTCCTTTTCCACTAATGGAGGAAAACTTTTGCACTAAGAGTGCGTCCGGCCATGCGATTCTGCGCTGTATTATTGTTTTATTCTTTACTGATCCATGATTATGCTTTAGTTGTTTTGTGTATTATTTGGATAATAGCAACGATTTCTACCGCCACCAAGGAGGTTGTGTATTCACCGATGTCACTGTCTGGGTGTCTATTCCAGTTTGTTTTTATATCTAGTATCTTTGTTGAGAATTGATAATAAAATACGTGACGACTTGGTAACGAAAGTTTAGCACAAGTTTTTTTAGATCCAGCTGTAGGGGGCGTCCAATTTTTGTATTCCCACCATGCATTTCGGTGGAACGCGGTGGAACACTTTTTTTGTGTGGAGAACTCTATCTTGTATTTCTAGTATCTTTGGTTGTAGCTGAAGAAAAATAAATGTGTGTGATATACATTTTGAGGATGGGTGTGTGATAACATTGGTAAACTATAAATAATAAGAGTTGATTATATAGGATGGAAAAGTGGGTTAATGAGGGTGGGTGGAGGGCCATGAAATTAGCTTTATTAGGTGGAAAACATCAAGGATGGGTCACCCCGCCCACCTCCAACCACCGTAACTACATCCCTGTATAAGTAGTACTGCCAGTACGGTACCACAACTTTCTTAAAACATGTATGTAATAGGTACATTGGAACAATAGAAAGAATTCGCAAAGACTGAAGTCATCAGGCTATTGAAAACTTTATAAATACTCACAGAATGAGCTGTTGGAAGTGAGGGGTCAAAGTTGAATTTTACCGGCCTCTTCTTCACTTTCTCATGATCTTCAACTCCCCGGATGTTCATCCTCCAATCATCCACGTTCATCCTAATATCTTCCTGAGCTTCTGGCTCTATAAAATATATAGTAAATGCAATAAAATAAAAACATTTTTTTCTACCCCACTTTTTACCCCTTTCAGGCACCCCCCACCCCCCACTTTCAGACATCTCTGGATCCACTCCTGGTAGCATTTACCTAACTACAGATTTAGTTGCGCACAGGGCTGATATAAAAATATATGACCACATAACCAGGATTTGTACTCCTTGCGCATCTCCCCAGAGGAATTTTTGGGAAAAAAAATCTTTTTTCATTGTTATTTAATTACCACCAGCAGGTTAAACACATTATTTCTTTGTACCGTTATGCATATTTAATAATATGAGCCGCTGATAATTCAACCATTATTATCGTTTTTAATATTTTATTACCGTTTTTTAATCACATAAAACAGTAAAATCGTTTAATTAGAGTGCCTTTCAAATGATGTTGGCTACAGAACACCATTGTTTCCTTTTTTTCCCCAGGGGTCAAAGGTGTAGCTCAAATGACGACCCTTCTATTAAAATAGGAGACGCCTTCATTGAAACTTGTGTCCTGCAGAAATCTTTGGAGTCGTTATGGACTCATCAGTCCAAACAGGTAACAACTGTAAAGCCGAGCTTCTGTCGATTCGTAGAATTTGGAGTACCAGGAAGTACCTAGCATAAACTCCAATATGTGTGGTTCTGATTGACAAAACAAAGAATTGATTTACACGCGTACACCTTGATGAGGGTTAATAGAGTTTATTCACCAAAATGATACGGTTTGACCTGAAAATAAGATTATAAAATTCATATAGAAACTCACTGAACTGTAATACTAAATAGTTAAAATGTAATATTGTAAATTAGTGGAATGAGGTATTGTTAACTAATTATCTTACACGTAGAAAGTAAAAAAAAAATAGGAAACTATAAACACACAGTAGAACACAAATAAACAGAATAAACTATAAACTATAATCACTTAATTACTAAGTTACCAAATTATCATAAAGCCCAATACACATAATGCAGCCAAACTATTAAACTACTGTTACATGGTACTTTTTGTACAGCATAAAGGCCTATATTATTTATATCAAAAGATACATCATAACAAATTAAATATAATCAAACCTCAAATATAGCATATAAAATAAGGTAAACTTACATCTGTATGCTCTTCAGAACCATTGAGTAAATACAGTCAATTGATATTCTAATAAACAGTACAGTAGTAGAAATAATAGAAGTTGAATTGGGAAAATACTGTAATGCAAAGCCAAACCCAAACCCTGCCATAGGGGCAAGTTAAGACAATAAGGCTCTCTGATTGGTCAGTACTAACATGGAGGATGGTTCTAATTAGTGTGCCTGGCCTTATAATTATTTTACCATATTGAGCAGGCCCTACTGGTAGTGGACAGATTTTTGTGTACAGTACTTCCTTTTTATTGATTTGCATCTCACTATGTATTTTATTCTGTTAATTTTGAAGCACCATTATTGTGATGAATGCATTAATTGTTTGGTTAGACTTTTTACTCCATGCTTTTTTATTGTATATTCCTTTGTTTGGTTTTGCGACTTTCTTTGTACATTTCATTTTGTTACTTTGGATGCACCATTATTGTAATGGGTGCCACTGTTTTAAAAGCGTTTTTCCGAAATAAATTATTATTATTATTATAGAGGCTACCGAGGTCACTCTATACTACCAATTAGGGTAGAGGTATTCACTAGTTTAAACCTTACATCTAGAACCTAGATCAACTGAGATACTTGTTCATGCTTTTGTACATCAAAGCTGACTGTAACTCATTGCTTTAGAGTTTGACAGCAAAGTATAATTTCAAAACCCCAGTGAGCTGAGAAAGCAGCCCGCTGGCCTTTTTAAGCACCATCAGGGAACACATCACACCTGTGCACCTTCAATTAACTTCCTGCAACACTAGCCCCTATCAGATAGACATTACCGCAATATTGCGGTAAGCATGCCGGCATAATAACCGGACTATAACCTTTCATACAGCACCTTCGTTACTGCAATATTGCGGACCGTAATTTAATGCTTTTCTCTTTGAATGGACCTATAGAATGGCATAATATTGGTGGTTTAAGATACAGAGGGTGCAATAATCTGTTTATTTTTGTCAATATGGCGCCCGATCGAATCTTACAGCTGTTGCTATGTAAATTTTGTTGTTCCACGGGTAGTAAATTTAAACTTTCTTTAGTGTAGAGGGCTGATGACTGTCTATTACTGCTTTTTGCCACTTTCCTCAAAGCGTATTGGCGTATCGACTCTTTCAGACAGAAACCCGTACTTACCGCAATATTGCGGTATTGCAGCTCTGTGTGAAAGGGGCTACAATTATTTTCAAATGTCCTCATTATTCCTTGCCAATGTAAATTTTACAACTAATTCATATTTATATTCCTAAGAGGTCTCTATTCTAGTTCGGAGTCTCTACTTGCTCATTCTATTCATCCATCAACAAAGCATTGAGTAATCGTTGATTTTCTTGGGAGCTCTGTCTTTCTTTGGAATGCTTTACTTATTACAATACAGGCAATAACAGGCAACTTCCATTGTTGATTTTTTGTTCAATTTTAAAACCTTTTTAACCTAACTTTAAAACCTTTTTAACCTGTACTTTTCATTAATTTTTTTCTTCCGGCATTTTTATTTTTATTGTTAAGCGCAATTGAGGCTTCAGCATATAATGCGCAATAAGCCAAAATATTAGTTATTATTATTATTATTATTATTATTATTATTATTATTATTATTATTATTATTATTATAAGTAAGTCCAATGTGCCACAGTTATCTGAATTAACTTAAAAAGGTATACTAAAATTACTTTATTAAAACAAGAATAACATTAACAATGGATAACTATACACAGCACATAAGCTACAAAATGAATTACATCCAGTCAAAACTAAAAAAAAATAATCCTCCACTGTTGCCAAGGAACGCTGACCTTGACCCTGAGCAGCCCCAGTCAATGGCCAATGGAAATGAGTATAGTACATAGTACATACTACCACAGATCACAGGTCTATGCTCTACCATGGAGGAAATATCCTCCATGGTACTAAAGTACTGTAGGCTTAGAGTATACTTCACACAAAAGGTGAACATGAAACTATACTTAAAACTCTATACAAACTACTGAGTTTTCAATAAAATAATGTTTCGAGGTTTTGACGTCAATTAATATCTTCACAAAACTCATAAAATAGACTCAAAAAGAAGCTGCGTACTTCATTTATAAAGTTAGTCAAATCTCTCAGCTTTAAAAATTAATTATGCTGTTCAATATAATTACAAGGGCCATCGTATCTAACGGACTGTACAATAAGGCCTGGGTGAGGAATATCCTTTGTGCAAAAATTGGGCTTAGAAATCTGTCTGCACATTTTGGAAAATATGAGCCAATGTCCGCACAGATTTTGCATTATTTTGTATTATGGAATCATTATGATTCTGCGCATCTACTTTCCTAGCAAAAATTTGAGCTGGGTTTGATCTGCGCATTAAAAAAACATTACAGTATGGCATTATCTATATTAATGAAGAAATCACATCTACATCTGCTAAATTAAACATACAGTATTATAGGCCTATATATCTATAATAACTCATAACTATCCTAAAATTTAGGTCTAGTATCACAATATAACATTTACAAATACTATACATACGTCTAATTATCCAACACACTTTTAAAAATAGAACACAGTACAAATACTGTAGATGGTGATGCTCTGAGCAGGAAGGTATAAAAAATAATCTTATACCCGATTCACACGTACAAAAATCTTACCAAATTTAACAAAATGTAACCAAAAGTAACATTTTACGGCACGTGTGAAAGTACCTCCGTGTAATATCCTTGTAAAATCTCGGAACGTCTCGGTAATCTTTACCAGCCTCGCTGAGGAGATGTGTATAAGAGACAGATTTTAATACCAGGAGTACAAGCTGTCTCTTATACACATCTAGATGTGTATAAGAGACAGTTCCGGTAATTGTGAAAATTATAGGGGAATTTCACTAATTAATCATACAGCTAAATTATATGAAAGAATCATAGAAAAAAGAGTTAGACAGCGGATTGAACCAAGGATGGGTTTAGAACAGCATGGTTACAGAAAAAACATGTCTACCACCGACCTGATATTCAGCATACAATGCTTGGTGGAAAAATCATGGGAGTTCAACAAACCAGCTTATTTCACTTTCATTGATTTAAGACGCCCATTCGCAATAAAATTGAAGCAGCTCAGTTAAGATGGCTTGGTCATTTAGAGAGAATGGATGATAATAGAGTAGCTAAGAGATGCTGGAATTGGACACCGTGTGGGAAAAGACCAAGAGGACGACCGAGGAAACGATGGATAAACACAATTAAAGATACTTTAAATAGGAATAACATGCCCACCTTCCAAGAATTAAGAAATAGCGGTGAGATGTTAGACAGACAAAAATGGAGAGAGAGGCTAGCACCACTGACAGGCGGAAGCCTACATGGGAGCTGAAGAAGTAAGTAAGTAATTAAACTTACAGTAAAATGTTGAGCCTTTTTTATTAAAGTAGAGTATGCCCAGGAATTTAGCAATCCTTATAAGATAGATTTTTTTCTACTTTGTAGCAAACTTATGTATCTTAGGATTGTCAAAGGAAAGCTGAAAAAATATAAAATTTAGGTTTATTACTTAGGAAATGAATTAACGAAAATTATCCAGTAGACGAAAATAAAAATAAAATGTTTTTTATGGTGAATGCAAACAAGTGTAGTAATGGGATTAATTTGCTTTAAATTTATATAAAATTATAGAAAAAATATAGATGTTTATGAAATTTCCATTTTTTTTTGTGGTGGTGGTGGTGACATGCAAACTGGCCAAAAATCAAATTTCATTTTTATTCAAAATCATCATTATTGGTGGGCGGCAGGTTTTCTAAACAATAAATAAAGAAAAGTCACCTAAAGCGAAAATGGAATTTCCGTTGTGCTGTTAAAATGTTAAAGGAAAAAATTGTTTCTGTCTATTCACGAGCAGGTTAAAACAAATCTTAATAGGTTCCCAGAAATTGCCAAATGCCTTCCAGAAGCATTTTGAAGCCATGTATGATGGCGCATACATCAATGCTGATTTTATGAGTGTAGATTTGGAGTCTAATACACTAAATTGTAAGCAGGTACTGTATAGTGATTTTCAGCTTTGTAGGTGACCTAGTAAAAAGTTATGAGGATTCAAAGATCAAAGGACTACAAACAATGATCATGTTGGCACAGTGTCATGCCTACTTGTTAAGAAACCCACTTCTTTTGGAAAATATCAGTCAAATCAAAATTAAATATTTTAATTTTTCTAAAATATTATTTTTCTGACCATCAAGAGACAAAAGGTTTTCAACTCAAAGAACAACAGGAGTGGTTTGCTGCAGGTGAGGTCGGAAGTTAAATACCTTGTTGTGCGTTTCGCTTGCATTCTTGGGCAAGGCACTTCAGCTACGGTTGAAGTCTCTCTCTAAACAGGAGTACAAGTAGGTATCTGGTAGGTTCAAATACAAAATGCACTGATTACAGCTGCATTATGATTTCTCCCTAGAGAGCTGAGTACTGTAGAAGCGGTTTGCGCATCGGTTGTGGCTTGGACTCCCAACCTCGAGGTCGGGGGTTCAAAACTCTCGCTGTGCAATTCGCTTGTGTCCTTGGGCAAGGCACTTTATCTATGGTTGCCTCTCTCCACCCAGGAGTACAAGTGGGTACCTAGTAGGTTCCAACACAACTGCGCTGATTACTAGCTGCAATATTATGGAATTTTTAGTAATATAATTTAATTAATTTGGTGTTGAGTATGTGTTTCATATGTGTTTGATCCAACGGCCGAGGTAGTAATGTGAAGCGCTTAGAGGCTTTGTGCATGAAGCGCTATATAAGAATGACATATTATTATTATTATTATTATTATTATTATTACTGAATGTGTTCCATGAGCTTGATTCAGTGACCGAGGGTAATAATTTAGCATGAAACGCTATGAAGTCTAAAATATAATTGTTATGAACATGAAAGGCCAGGTATACTACTAAAATACATGTTTAGCAAAACATTTTTAAATTGTTTAAAGCACAATAATCAGTTTTAATTCTTTAGAAGAAAATTGCAAAGTAGTATGTTAGATAGATGTTATTTGCAAAACTCAATTGAAACACTATTCAAATTGTAAAATCAGACAGTACCACCCTACAAACCATACATTTTAGATACCCTAATATGTACTGTACATAACAAGCACCTCAGAAGATCTACTATTGCAATGGAAAAAGCGGAACAAAACATAAAAAAACGAAAAAAGAGGACAAAGACTTACCAGGAAGTCAGAAATAACAGAACAATTTAAAGAAATTTGACTTAACGATAATGAGGCAAAGCAGCAATGGATCGTGAGGCAAGATTGTCGATTGTCACAAACCTAAGGCACCAGCATAAAGCCTATTCCTGCAACAAGCAAGATAAACTGATCATGATTATGATGAGAATAGTCTAGGAGTATGAGATATTGTAAGTGGTGCAACGACGAGTCACGAGGCCCTGGGTGGGCAAGTGTTGGGGCCTTAATACATTTTAGTTAGTCAATTTCGAGCGGCCCCTTCACAATTGTGCACAATGCTTCTAAAATAATCCATTCTATCCCTATCCCCTATTTACTAAACTATTACTAATTATCAACCTTCATTCTTGCTATCGTATTGCACTATTGATAATTATTTATTGATTATTATTATTATTGAATACATAACTACTTCCTAAAATTAAATTAAATAAAAAATTAAAATGTATAGTTGAAATTGAATATGAGAAGATGTAAATGGGGAAGGGGGATTCCGGGTAGAAAATGTCACAGGGGAAAATGTCCAGGGACAACCAACCTGCTCCCTATCAAACAATACCGTGTGCTATATATTACTACTGTATAATTTATTTGTATCATGTTTTTGAAAATAAATTGAGTGCACGCGAAAGTGTACACGTCACATAACTCAACTCCTAGAGCTGTATTCAGGACAATTTTAAAATAATTCGGAAAATTATAAACCGAGGCCCGCTGCGCCTCGTGGCGCTTGCTAGATATTGCATTAATTTCGCTTCTTTGCCGTATTGCCATTTTGGTACTTGTCATTGCCGTTTTGGTCTGTTGCTATTTTGGTACTTATCGTTGCCGTTTTGGTTCATTGCCATTTTAGTTATTGCCGTTTGATCATTGCCATTTTGGTTTCCCTATTGCCATTTTGACCTACTACCGTGTAGGCATATAGGTGTGCATAAATAGGCCTAGGCCTAGGCTAATTTATTTTCCTACATTTTTTGATGAATGGGTCAATCTGTTTCATAAAGTTTGAATTCTCTTGTCAGGTACCTACCTAATAAGGCTAGCCAACAAGATATGTATCTAGCTAGCTAGTGCTAGGGTAGCAAATTCAGGCCTAGCTAAGGGAAGGCTAGACTAGCCTACTAGCTAGGGCATAGGCCTAGGCCAACCTAGCCTAGCCCAACCTAGGCCTACTAGGGCAGCACTAAGGCTTAGCCTAGCCTAGCCTAGCTAGGGTAGGGCCTAACTTAGCATAGGCCTAGGGCCTACCTAACTAAAGTCTAGCCTAGGCATAGGCTAGTCTAGGCTAGTTATTAGATTATGCCGATGCTAGGCCTAGCCGCTAGCGCAAGACTTGTTGTTGCATGTTGTTGAGGGTTACTTATACTTATTTTACAGGCCAATATAATTGTATGATCTTAAGCAACGTATAGCACATACCACTATCAGACGAAATGTCAAAATCGCCGTCTTCGCCATCCATTTTTAATTTGTTTTACGTCCACGAAGAATGATGAAAGGTTAAAATCCCAAAGTTAGGTTCAAAGTTGACATTTCTCCAATCAGATTACGCGTAGTGTAGCTAAATGGCCAACAACCTGAACCATATAAAAACCAAAACAAACAACACACACGTTCGTCTTCTGTCGTCAGATGACTTACAGCTGTTTAATATTAGGCCGCTAAGTATTGATTGAATTTATCGGATTTTTATGAAAAAGTTAACACGTTGTACATGGTGTCAGGTAGGCAGTTAAAATGGACTTAATTTTACTGGAGAGTAGTGATTTCTAAACGTCTACAATAATGTTATATTATAAATTGCTTGTGTTTGAGTTTCAAAATCAAAACTGAACCTGTTGATCCACTGTGAATTTCCGGGTATATATTAATTGTATTGTTGTTGTACTTCGTTTTTTAGGCTTAATATTGTATTTTCCCGTTGTACTGTAGCCTATATATGCTATATATATACTATTTTTCGGTTTAATTAGATGGTAGTTAAGTTAGTCGAACGCTAGGCTAGTCAGATAAAAGACGTACGACTAGACCAAAAGGGCTATGCCTTACAATACAATAATATCAATATTTTTTTAGCAAAATATAGAAAAAAAATATATATTATATTTTGTATTTGTATATTTTCATACTCATCATACCGTCATACTGGAAAAAGAGCCCATGGCAATATTCAATCTGCCTACAGACAATCAGGCCAATTTAAATTCAAGACCATTTGAGAAGTTATAAACTGCACCCCACGCCCAGCAGCGCTTGCTCTTGGCATTGCTTTTTCTCCTTTGCCGTTTTGATCTAGGCATAAAATTGGTACTTGTCATTGCCGTTTTGGTCTGTTGCCATTTTGGTACTTCCAGAAGATTAGGGGGTTAACCTGGGTGTACTGGTCCATTAAGTCCCCTGATTGATAATTGGATATGCCAGTTATTAAGTTCACTTATTGGTATATCATTGGCACTCCTGCCTAAAGAAATGAAATGAAAATGAAGTGTACATGGCCCTTAGATTTTTTTGCAGTATAATTATAGTTATAAAGTGCTTATGGTACTACATGTACATTAATCACAGCAGCTTTTTTTGCAAGCAGGGTCACTGAAAGTACTGTGGCACAGTAGTGCAACTGGATTAGCTGTGCTTCACTCAAACCATAGAGAAAATTTTCTCTATGCTCAAACCATGGAGCTCAAACCATGGATGATACCTCCATGCTCAAAGATATAATTGACAGTTTAATGGGTCATAAATCTTGATACACTAATTGGCAAACAATGGACTAGGATTAAAATGTGCTTTATTTACTAAGGGCCCTGCACCCCCTACCAGGTACACCTGGTGTAGCAATGCAGGTAAATTAAAGGACACAAAGATTTTGCAGCAAGAGATTGAAACCCTGACTTTTGACATTGGGAAACTAAACTGAAAAAAACAAAAAACAAAAAAAAAAACAGTCCTACTGTACAAGGAATTGTGTTCATTTTTTTTTTTAGTGACATTGGGAAACCAAAAAAA